CACTCAAATCATACAAAGTTTTGTCGAATAGTTTGATATAAAGACAAAAAATTTACAATTTTTAATTAAATCCGAACAATCTTACATATGCAGCTGAAGCACACTCACAAATTACTCTCAATATCCACTCAAATCATACAAAGTTTTATATTTTCATTTTATTGTTTCTTAATAAAGAATTTACTTTAATATTCTTAATTGTTTTCTTTTTTATATTTAATTTTTGATATCTATTTTAAAAAACTTATACAAATTCGAGTCAGCTAATAATTTAATTGAAAAAATAAAAAGAAAACATATAATTTTTAATCCGTCTAATTGAATAAGCAATATTATAAATATTATGTTAAACGGTTAATTTTTTCTCAAAAAAATTATTTCGAATTTCCGAAATTTTTGACATTTTGGCTGAGAACTATGGTCTGCGAGGTACATAGATAGAATCAGTACCTCGCAGACTATAGTTCTCTATATGGCGCCGAAAATTTTTTGGTGAAATGTCGTCGCATTTCACCAAAAATTTTTCGGCGCCATAGGAAGAATTGGAGGGTGTGAGATACTATTACATGCTATAGTACTCACACCCTCCAACTCCCAATCAAAATCGCATAAAATTTGCTACTTATCTTCAGATTACCTCCCATTATAAAATATATCATTGCTATCTCATCGTACTATATTTCCACCCTATTGTATTTAAAAATATAAAATTTTTTGATAATATATTTTTATATCTTGAATTTTCAAGCAAAATATTCACAGATAATATAATGGGAAATCTATCTCAACCTAGCCTTAAAGTACCAAACTCCTGCTTGCATTCTCACTCACAAATATTAAACATCCATCTCCAAAAAACTAAATTCTTCACAATTTTTTTAAAATTGAGAACATAAAAAATGTATGCATTCAATAATTTAAGATACTAACAAATATTAAAAACTTCAAAATATCAGATATTAACGTTTTTCAATTAAAAAAATATCATTTTGCTTTTCAATTCGAACATAAATCTTAAATATTTTTAATTAATATCTGATTTACAGCATTATTATCCATTTATAAATCTGACAAATAAATGACAAAACCATCATAAATAGTGTCACTTTTTGTCAAAAGTGAAGTCACGCTATTTTTCATGCACAACACATTTAAATTAATTTTGTTAAGAATATTTTTTCAATATAGACTTCTGAAATAATTAAATTATTCTCAAGTTCTCACAAATTATTTCATTTCAAATTTGTTTAAAATGAATTTGTACACCTTAGTTGATTCAGCTTGACTTGAAACAGCTCTAGCACAGATTCAAAGGCGCACACCATTAGCCATTGTTCTCACAAATGTTCCATTAGTCAACAACACTATTCGTTCATCAATTAACAAGATAACATTTTACAAAGCTCTCTTATGTAATAGACTAATTACTATTGAAGAGTACTTACATCATACATACAAACTTCAAGAGTTTACTACTTTCTACATTAAATATAATAATCGACTCTACGAGTGTTCATCCATTTTGAAACACAGAGATGACACTCTCCTTACCGATTATTTGATATTACAAAGTTCAAACGACTCTCGTATACAGGAAGAACTCTCATCAGCCAGCACTCCTCTACAACGCCAGCTTTCATCAGCCAGCACTACCAACTCTGTTCCACAGCAACAGCTCTCAACAGCCAACGCTCCTCTACAAAGCCCACTTTCTGCCAACACCCCGCCACAACGCCAGCTCTCTGCCAACGCTCCTCTTCAACGCCAGCTTTCATTAGCCAGCAGTACCAACACCCCCCCACAGCCACAACTCTCTGCCAGCACTCCCCACAACGCCAGCTCTCTGCCAACTCTCTTCCACAGCAACAACTCTCTGTCAACACCCAGACACAACTCCAGCTCTCTGCCAACACCCAGACACAACGCCAGCTCTCTGCCAACACTCATCTTCAACGCCAGCTCTCTGCCAACTCTCTTCCACAGCAACAACTCTCTGCCAACACCTCGGCGCAGCAACAACTCTCTGCCAACACCCAGACAAAACGCCAGCTCTCTGCCAACTCTCTTCCACAGCAACAACTCTCTGCCAACACCCAGACACAACGCCAGCTCTCTGCCAACTCTCTTCCACAGCAACAACTCTCTGCCAACACCCAGACACAACTCCAGCTGTTGTAAACAGAAATTCATCAAAAGTGACACCTCAGAAAAGCTAAAATATTGAATTTTTGGAACTTTTGATAGAGCACGTTTTTAAATATTAATTTAAGTAAATGTATATTTTGTAAAGATTCTTTTTAATAAAAAAATAAAATTTTGAAGAAGAACACAAAATCTTCTGAAAAATAATATCACATAAACTCATATTATTTTCTAATATATAACTATTTTATATAAAAATCAAATTCAATGATCTTAAAAGCGAAGGATAAACCTCAAAATTTACGAATATAATGAGTGGAATATAATGCTTATCTATCATAAAACCATATGAAATATCAATTTTTGCTTTACGCCTAATTTTTGACGACAATTAGCAAAAAATGTTAAATGTTAACACTCAGTCCATTTGAATATGAAAAATAAAATTGACTTTGATTAAATTTTTATTTATCATGCAATTCTTCTTGCGACCAAAGATTTGAAATAAAATTTCAAAAAATAAGATAGCTTAAAAAATAATATACGGTAGTGTTTACTAATAGATGAATAGTATATAAATTCTATTAAAATGGATTTGATCCAAAAAAATATATAAAATTTGATCATAAATAAAATCGTTTTAAATTACTTCTTCATTTAAATTATAACAATTATTTTTGGTTTTATATTTTTTTGGATCAAATCCATTTTAATAGAATTTATATACTATTCATCTATTAGTAAACACTACCGTATATTATTTTTTAAGCTATCTTATTTTTTGAAATTTTATTCAAATCTTTGGTCGCAAGAAGAATTGCATGATAAATAAAAACATTTAATCAAAGTCAATTTTATTTCTCATATTCAAATGGACTGAGTGTTAACATTTAACATTTTTTGCTAATTGTCGTCAAAAATTAGGCGTAAAGCAAAAATTGATATTTCATATGGTTTTATGATAGATAAGCATTATATTCCCACTCATTATATTCGTAAATTTTGAGGTTTATCCTTCGCTTTTAAGATCATTGAATTTGATTTTTATATAAAATAGTTATATATTAGAAAATAATATGAGTTTATGTGATATTATTTTTCAGAAGATTTCATTCTATATGCCTATGAAAAGTACTCTCAAAACTAACTTTTTCCTAATTATAATTAAATCTAGAATATTGTATTATGCTTAGTATTATTGTTATATACGAAAACGATAAAAACAGTTTGACAGAAAAGTGACAACTTTACGTGTCAAAAATATAAAAAGTGATATTTTATTCATCATTATCTTCTTCATAATTTATTTCATATTCTTCGTCTTACCAACAAAAGATGGGAATGTGAACAATTGCGGGCAATTTTTAGCCATTTTGGCTTGGAACTAGAGCCTGCGAGGTACATGGATAGTATCAGTACCTCACAGGCTCTAGTTCTCTATATGGCGCCGAGAAATTTTGGTGAAATGTGGTCGCATTTCACCAAAATTTTTTCGGCGCCATAGGATGAATTGGAGGGTGAGAGATATTATTTCATACAATACTACTCTCACCCTCCAATTCCCAGCCAAAATGGCTAAAAATTGCCCGCAATGTGAACAATTGCGGGCAATTTTTAGCCATTTTGGCTTGGAACTAGAGCCTGCGAGGTACATGGATAGTATCAGTACCTCACAGGCTCTAGTTCTCTATATGGCGCCGAGAAATTTTGGTGAAATGTGGTCGCATTTCACCAAAATTTTTTCGGCGCCATAGGATGAATTGGAGGGTGAGAGATATTATTTCATACAATACTACTCTCACCCTCCAATTCCCAGCCAAAATGGCTAAAAATTGCCCGCAATGTGAACAATTGCGGGCAATTTTTAGCCATTTTGGCTTGGAACTAGAGCCTGCGAGGTACATGGATAGTATCAGTACCTCACAGGCTCTAGTTCTTCTATATGGCGCCGAGAAATTTTGGTGAAATGTGGTCGCATTTCACCAAAATTTTTTCGGCGCCATAGGATGAATTGGAGGGTGAGAGATATTATTTCATACAATACTACTCTCACCCTCCAATTCCCAGCCAAAATGGCTAAAAATTGCCCGCAATGTGAACAATTGCGGGCAATTTTTAGCCATTTTGGCTTGGAACTAGAGCCTGCGAGGTACATGGATAGTATCAGTACCTCACAGGCTCTAGTTCTCTATATGGCGCCGAGAAATTTTGGTGAAATGTGGTCGCATTTCACCAAAATTTTTTCGGCGCCATAGGATGAATTGGAGGGTGAGAGATATTATTTCATACAATACTACTCTCACCCTCCAATTCCCAGCCAAAATGGCTAAAAATTGCCCGCAATGTGAACAATTGCGGGCAATTTTTAGCCATTTTGGCTTGGAACTAGAGCCTGCGAGGTACATGGATAGTATCAGTACCTCACAGGCTCTAGTTCTCTATATGGCGCCGAGAAATTTTGGTGAAATGTGGTCGCATTTCACCAAAATTTTTTCGGCGCCATAGGATGAATTGGAGGGTGAGAGATATTATTTCATACAATACTACTCTCACCCTCAATTTTAATTACTTAAACTCATTCTATTTTTTTGACATGTAAATGTCACTTTTACTGAGATCTGACACAATGTCAGATCTCTTTTTTTCGTATATAAGATTATTTCATTTTTCTCATTCAATTTAGAATTTACAAATGTCAAAAAATTGAGAGCTGTCACTTTTGATGAATTTCTGTTTATTACACAGCTCTCTGCCAACACCCAGACACAACGCCAGCTCTCTGCCAACACTCATCTTCAACGCCAGCTCTCTGCCAACACCCAGACACAACACCAGCTCTCTGCCAACACTCATCTTCAATGCCAGCTCTCTGCCAACACCCAGACACAACACCAGCTCTCTGCCAACACTCATCTTCAATGCCAGCTCTCTGCCAACACCTCGGCACAGCAACAACTCTCTGCCAATACTCATCTTCAATGCCAGCTCTCTGCCAACACCTCGGCACAGCAACAACTCTCTGCCAATACTCATCTTCAATGCCAGCTCTCTGCCAACACCTCGGCACAGCAACAACTCTCTGCCAATACTCATCTTCAATGCCAGCTCTCTGCCAATACTCAGCCTCAGCCTCAGCCATCTGTGTCTATTCCCCTTAAGCGCGGGAGACCCAAAGTTAATGTACCAAAAGATCTTAAGGTAACTATTAGAAACATAATTGAGCAGCATGGCCATCTTGGAATAATCTCCGCCTATAACCAAATAAATAAAGATATCGAATATGCCAAATCTCATTTTGAGGCATTTTTGGACATGAAGACGTGTATTGTTCCACAGCCAACGCCTACCCAAGCATGGTTCTCCGCTATTGAACGTTTTAAGCCCCTGAATCAAATTTCTTCCACAATTCCTTCCGGACTTATGATTGAAGAGTCTCCATTATCATTTCCATCTGAGCTGAGGAACATTAAATATCTTACAAACCCTCTTCCACATCCCCCCTCAAGACATATGGTAGAAAGAGCTTTTAGAGAGCTAGGCTTGGCACGTCCAAGGGGACCCTATCGGCCAAAAGGAAAGACAAGATACTTAGCTGCCTTTCCTAACCAAATATGGCACGTTGATATCCACTTTCTTGGCAAAAAGAGAAGTCAGATTCTTTATGCTGTGATTGATGACTGCACAAGGCTCATCATAGAATGGCAGCATCTTTCGTCAAAACATGCTAGCCAAACAGTGAAAGTAATTAAGAGAGCAATAGCCCGTTATGGACCACCACATACAATTTGGTCCGATAATGGCGGCGAGAATAAAGGCGAGTTCCTAAAGGCTATGAGGGTTCGGAAAAAACCAGAATTTTCGAAAAAGTGACACCAACTATTAAAGTTATTTTATTACTAGATTTATTTACAAATTATAAGATAATATCATTAACCGAATATATTTTTAATATAAATAAAAAACTTTTTTTATACAAAAAATTACAATCAATCGATAAATATTATAAACCATTTATTCCAAAAAGATTAAGTAATAGGTGGGATCCTGCATATAATATAATTTTATGTCATAAAGTTTACAAATTTTAGATGGACCACAGTGAGAATGTGAGTGGTTAATTTAAAGGTGGTCTGATAAAGATATCGAAGCTTACTCAACACAGCATGAAGCAGTTTCTAATACACAATCTTACTAGTGTTGTTTCGGTCGCCAGCGCTCTCATAGGGGTGCTGATTTCAAAAACCACTACTTCAAATTATTCAACAATACTCAATGCAGCATGAAGCAGCTACTACTGCTGTATCTTACTGGTAGTGTTTTGGTTGTTGGCTCTTGCACAGTCTCTCAGATTTTCAAATTTTTTTTTCAACACTATCTTGTTTCGCTCTCAGAAAGCTATCCTACAAAGACATCGAAGCTTACTCAACACAGCATGAAGCAGTTTCTAATACACAATCTTATTAGTGGTGTTTCGGTCGCCAGCGCTCTCATAGGGGTGCTGATTTCAAAAACCACTACTTCAAATGTTGTAAACAGAAATTCATCAAAAGTGACACCTCAGAAAAGCTAAAATATTGAATTTTTGGAACTTTTGATAGAGCACGTTTTTAAATATTAATTTAAGTAAATGTATATTTTGTAAAGATTCTTTTTAATAAAAAAATAAAATTTTGAAGAAGAACACAAAATCTTCTGAAAAATAATATCACATAAACTCATATTATTTTCTAATATATAACTATTTTATATAAAAATCAAATTCAATGATCTTAAAAGCGAAGGATAAACCTCAAAATTTACGAATATAATGAGTGGGAATATAATGCTTATCTATCATAAAACCATATGAAATATTCCCACTCATTATATTCGTAAATTTTGAGGTTTATCCTTCGCTTTTAAGATCATTGAATTTGATTTTTATATAAAATAGTTATATATTAGAAAATAATATGAGTTTATGTGATATTATTTTTCAGAAGATTTCATTCTATATGCCTATGAAAAGTACTCTCAAAACTAACTTTTTCCTAATTATAATTAAATCTAGAATATTGTATTATGCTTAGTATTATTTCATTTTTCTCATTCAATTTAGAATTTACAAATGTCAAAAAATTGAGAGCTGTCACTTTTGATGAATTTCTGTTTATTACACAAATTATTCAACAATACTCAATGCAGCATGAAGCAGCTACTACTGCTGTATCTTACTGGTAGTGTTCTTCGCTTCTTACTATCAACTCTAAAACTAGTTTGATGTATTATTTATTCATATATAAATATATACATATATAAATATATACATATATACATATATACATATATAAATATATACATATATAAATATATACATATATAAATATATACATATATAATATATACATATATAAATATATACATATATAATATATACATATATAAATATACATATATACATATATACATATATAAATATATACATATATAAATATATACATATATAAATATATACATATATAAATATATACATATATAAATATAAAAAAAAAGGTAGTGGGGCTTCCAGGGGCTGCGCCCCTTCTAGCCCTGAAGATGTTTAGTATAACTTTGTCCGGACAAGTAAGGGTCTATCGTCGCTACAGGAAAAGTTACGGGCGTTCCAAGGAAGTATACTTTGAGAAGCCTTCTTCTGGGTCGAAAACATTATATAATGTGTCGCTTTTCACAAATTATATATGTTTTCATGTTTTGTCACTTTTCTGTCACTTTTCAGGAAAAAAACATTTTTATTATTATATATAAATGAATTTTACAAAACCACCGTTACCGTTCTTTGGAAATAAGAGTAGATGTAAAGATATTCTATTGAGAGAACTTAAGAAACTACCGAATGGTCTAACATTTGTAGATTTGTTCGGTGGAAGTTTCTATATATCCCATTTGTGCCATACAATATTCCCAGACTCAAAGATTATATGCAATGACTTCGACAACTATATGGACCGTCTCAAACATATACCAGACACAAACAATATATTGAAAGCGTTAAAAGAAAAGATACCTATAGGTAAGATGGAACGTATACCATTAGATAAGAAAAATATTGTGAGAGAGGTTTTGAAAAAAGCAGAATATATAGACTGGGATAGTATATCTGCTAGACTATTATATAGTGGTTCTATAAGAGTTCATGACATTGAAACACTTATGTCAAACGTTTTATATCTTAACTATACAAATGTTTTCAAAGAGGACATAGAAAAATATATTGAGGGTATAGAGTTTGTGAGATGTCGTTGGACAGAGTTGTATGAAAAATATAAAGACAAGGAAAATGTTTTCTTTATAGTGGACCCGCCGTTCTATAACACATGCGATTTTCAATACCAAGTAGACTGGACTTTGAGAGACTCTTTAGAAACTTTAGACGTTTTACATAACCATCCATGCTTTTACTTTACATCCGATAAAAGTGGTTTGGAAACCGTTATGAGATGGTTAGAGGACATACATGACTATGAGTTTAGATATGACAAGATAGAATATGAGAGAGGTCCTATAAACCGGAGAAAGTGTCAAACAAAGAAATTTTACTAGTAAGTAAATGTGGTTTGAAATAGGACTACTTGTTTTAGGTTTTTTCCATTGTGTCATTTATTTATTTGACGTGGCAGAAAGATATAGAGAATATGAAGATGAACCAATGCCTGCAAATGTTCAGTATATGTACTCGTAAGAGATATTTTTATCTAATATTAAATGGACGCACAGAACTTAGCGAATGCACAGCAACCTGGACAACCAAACCCAGAGAATATTCCAAATGAAGTTAGAATACAAACTGCAATGGCAAACTATGGTCAAGTGCCAACAGATGTACAAATGCAAACTGCCATGTCAAATGACGCTGCGTTAGGTTTGCCACCATGGTATGCAAATATGAGATGGAAAGAGTTTTATACAAACCCTGAAGTGGGATATAAACAACTTTATGCAGATGACGCGAACACAGGAGTTGACCAGAATATGTTTTCTACCAGAGGAGAAACAGAATGTATGAGCTCCAGTTAAAGAATGCTATGGAACTCAACAGGAAACGTAAGAGACTAGGCGGACTTAGATTTTTACATATAGTAAATGGGTTTCTTTGGAAGGAATAGGAAACTTCTTTCGAAATGTTTGGAAGAGGTATATGAATGGAATAAAAACCGTAGGAAGAGAATTTGAACGGAGTCAAAAATATTGGTAAAAGAGTAGGTCAGTTCGTTGGTATTATACCTAAAGACCCTGAACCAGAAGAACAAGCTCCTGTTATACAACAGCCTGAACCTGCACCACAGTCAAGTTGGCAACCAAATCCAAACACCTCAACCGTATTAAAAAATTATATTTACCGTTCGATAGTAGTTGATATGAAACTAAGTTCTAAGTAAAACGCATGGTATAATGGAACTATTCTCTTTCTTCCATCTTGTAAACCATACTTGAAAGTCTGAAATACTTCCACTTGGTGGTTCATATAGCTTTGTAGGTTTTTCGTAAAAGTCATTTGCCAAGCATAAAAAAGAGTTTTGTGCACCAGAAAATGAAGCATGAACTATAATAGCATCTGAGTCGAAAACATTTTCATATGTTCCATTAGGGTTTTCGACTTCTTAAAAGTCCGGGTGTACTGATATGCTGCAGGCTAACATCCTCATAAATCTATACCATGCCAAGTTTATATTTGTAGAAATATAAACGTTTTCTCCAAGGTCTTCTATTCTATTGATTTTAACAGTTGCATTTTTCCTGTCATATATATATCGAGATGGTACTCTCCCTCGTCAATGTTATACTGGTTTGCATATTCGATATAGATGTCGTTTATTTTTTCTTAAAAGCTTGAAGAGTTGTTTCTAAGTTTACAAGCAAATTCACTTGTAAAAGTTTTCCCTGTTCAAATTTCTCATACGTACGTTTTTCTTTGTTATAGTATCGAACTTCAAAACCGACCGTAAATGGGAAACCATGTATGGCTTCTGAAATGAACTTCATTCTACGAAGCCAATAGCTTTTGTGACGGATGGGTCTCTTAACCATCTTAATGGTAGTCAAAACGATAGCCTTCATGCTTTACGGTATCTGTCTCAAACTTTTGACCGACATTAGTAAAAAGTTCATCTAATGGTTTAGTTGTAGCAACTCTAGAATTTTCTTTTTCTATTGGAAGCATATTTTATCTATAATAAAAATGTCAAATGAAACAGCGTCTATGAGAGAAAATACAACACAACCGACAACTCATTATGCAAGCTCTAAATAAGAACACAACAAACTTTCAAACTATTCTAAGATATCTGAGTCATTGAAAGAAGGAAACTTAAAACTGACATTAAACCCAATGACAGATGAGTTTCTGTTTCAAGACAATAAGAACCATACTGTTTGTATAAATCCAACAAAAGGAACTTTAAACGAGAAACCTATATCTGAACTTCTTTTGAAAGCAGATGTTGACAACAAAGCTGACAAAGAATATGTCATTGAAAAAGTTCAAGAAGAACATGACAGAGCAGATGCAACATATGCAACGAAAGAACATACTCATCCTGAACTAGCAGACAAAACATATGTTGACAATAAAATGTCAAGTGAAGTGACAAGAGCTGAAAACGAATATTCTAAAAAGACTCATACACATACCATTGCAAATATTACAAACTTACAAGAAACCTTAGAGACAAAAGCAAATAAGACTCATACACATACCATTGCAAATATTACAAACTTACAAGAAACCTTAAACAGGAAAAGTGCCGTTGGACATACACATACCATTGCAAATATTACAAACTTACAAGAAACCTTAAACAGGAAAAGTGACGTTGGACATACACATACATCTT